TCTGAAGCAAATATAAGTATGATTACAAAGTTCTCTCTGATTCTACAATTACCAAAAAAAAAGCTCACTTTTTTCTATTACCCAATTTTTTTTTAATCATCGAAGCCACAGGTTATAAGTGCATTTTTTTCCATTTCATGCAAAAAGTCGATAAGAACGATTAAGTTGAACCTTCTGTTCTGAAGGCTTGTTAGAAAATTGGAAAAGGATAGTTGTTCTGGGACATTAGCAGAAAAGGGGGCAGCCTAAACTTGGGGGAAGCTATTCCAGAGTGAGGGAGCTGCTATTGAGGATAGTTTCCAAATAACATGGCGGGGGAGGGGGGGGGATCCTCAGCCTACCCTCTTGACCACCACAAAAAGAAAGGCAGATTCTACTTGAATTAGGCCTGCAGGTAGCAAGAACTCAAGCGGTAACCGAACCTGTCATTCTATTTCAAATAAAGTCTCTCCTTCCAGTCTTCTTTTCTGGATGTGTACTGTATCCCATCAAAATAGGGTATTTAGGAGTTAATTGGGATGTGCATCACATCTTTATTTTCAGTCTGTGATAAGAGGTTCAACGATGCACATGTTTTCTATACTGGCTTTCTAATAATTTTTCCCCTAAACAGTGACTCAGTTTCATATCCTGGTCTTGTTACAGGCAAATGCATTGCCATGCTCTGAGATATAATTTAGTCTGCAGTTGTATAATTTTGATTGCTTTTGTCATAATCTATTACTGTCAGATAATTCTAGCTGCATGTGCTTTATCCCCATCAAGAGAGAAAAGAGAAAAAGCTCTGTGCCCTTTCCCCAGATAATAAAGAGTGTAAGTGCTACCATTTTAATGATATTTTTCAAAAAGTATCTACAATTGATAAAATAAATACTATACAATTCTTTTTGCCCCAAGTTGCAGAAGACGAATATAGGTAAAAATCAGACCAAACAGTTAATCAACTGCTTACCTGGGTTTTGCTTGTGGTTCTGTTTAGCATCGTTACCTGCATAATTTCTTTAGTATACGGTATGCTCTAAAATACATGTTTTCTGTACAGTGTTTCTCTTTAATTGCTAGTATTGTTTCTTATCCTGGTTTCACTAGGGCCAATTACCTTGCCTCCAGATTTTATTTCATGCTTCCAGAACATTATTCCATGTTCTACTTAGGATTGCTTTTTTTTTGCACTATGCTCCTCTCAAAATTAGCTTTGCTTTCAAACTTTATGTCCCTTTTTATCTCCAGACAGGTGGTGGAAAAAAAGCATTTTCATCAGCTGTTCTGGTCTTCTCTCTTTTGGTCTTTTCAGTTGTAAGCAATCCATTCTCTGTGTTGGACAAAGGAAGAAAACCTTCACTGGCCTATTTTGACAGATTTATATATTATTCATACTATATATGTCCCCAGCGGATGCTCTTTCGCATTTACTCTCTATTTTCTCTTTCTTCCCGAAGTGTAAATCTTTTACCTTTTTGATTGTAAAGCCAAAATGCAGCTGCTCTTTAAGTTCTGTTAGACATTTTACCCTAACAATTGTACTTAAATCAATGTTGCCGTGCCTTCCTTGATCCGGTCTGGTCTTCTTGCCCCATGTTTCTGAAGTCTTATTGAATAGTTTTGCTTTTAACTCATTGCAATGGGTTTTTCATGAACTGAACCCCACCACTGTATTTTTTTTTTAATGATAAAAATGGTACAGTAAAGTTATGCAGAAAATAAACAAATAGCAATCAAGAATGATGCATTGCAATTCTCTAAAACAAAATTGCATTTACCCTAGGATGGTGGAAGTGATTTGTTTTAAAGTAAGAATCTATTAAAGCAAAAAGATGGAAGCAAGTTAATAACTACATTAAAATGATATCCCACCTGCTCAATTACAGTCTCGCAGGTCTGAATGTTCCATTTTAAATTGTAGATGGTCACAAAAAGCCCCGAATATTCTTCCATCAAAATTAATTACCCCCTCATAAAAATCAAATGTTTCAGAATTGGCCTTTCTGTTACAGGTTTACTTTCTGTAAATTGAGCAGTTGCCTATCATACCAGTTTTCCCAGACTCTGACTTAGTCACAGACCTGCCACCTCAGTGAAAATATTCTTTTTGGATATGACAAGTACTAGTTCTATTGACAAGGTAGCCCAGTGATTTTTAACTAAATAAAAATAGAATAGCTTTATTTTTCCAGGTTTAATTATAACGGAGAATACACTGAAGTAAATGAGCTTTCTGAACTTAGCATCCTTCGGATACCTGTATAATCCCTGATTGGGGTTCTGAAATTGAACACATTTAGAGGACAGCAGAATGGGAAAGGTTACTTTCTAACATCATAAGTAGCTCCAGGGTTGAGGTCTTAAAAGTATTTCCAGCTATCTTCTTTTCTGTATTATAATCAGAAGATGGTATACGTGAACAAGAGTAAGTGTTTGAAGGCATCATCCTTTCAAAATTAAGATATTAAACAATGTCATATGATGATGGTTCTTATCACATGGATCTTATTCAGGACAATAAACAGCTATCAGTTTTATCAAGCAATGCCCAAAGCCACCTCCAGACATTATATAAAATGAAATTAGGGTGTTCATGCCATTTCCCATGGGTCTAGTCACAATTCATTTTCCGATTTTGGGTATGTTTCCTCTGGTTATCCCAGTGGAGATGATTCTTATAAATGATTCCATCCAATAATGAAACTAATTCATGTACCCATTTCTCTTTGTTTGGTGGGAAAGAGCCAAGTTTTTATACATTCTCTCTCTCCTCTCTCTTTCTCTCTCACACACACCACACAGTATAGGCAGGCAACGCAGCTTACTATTCTAGTGCAAAGATTGGATGATGTTTTGATAGAAAACCTTGAATGACCAGAAGAGAAATACGTGCCATTTGTTTTCCATCTTTACAACTATTCTGCAAGAAAGAAAAGTCTGTGTGTGCTGGTGCAAAATAAGTTAATACTAGTTGTTGTTCAAGTAACTAGTATTAGATATAAATCACCCACACAGCAATGTTTAAAACTAAGTTTGACAAATGAATTTTGCTACATGCTAAGAAATATAAATCTTATGCAGGTTTATTGCAATGCTGGAGACTTCCCAAGCTTCAATTCACACACACACACAAAGAAAATTAGTTGATTGGGCTCCAAAGAGTTACATTAAATGACTGCCCATTTGTGAATTGGAAACTGTCTTTTCCTTGAAGATAAATGATTGTAAATGACAAAAAGAAAAAAAAATTACAAACTTCTATTTACTTGACAGCATTACTCTACTTCATATCTCAGAAACATGTATTTGGGTATTACAAATTTATTTAAGGTTTCCCTTTCATGAATACAAATAATATCCTATATTATAAAAGAGGTGTGTATTTTTAGTACATACCTTTTACATAGAACAAGATCTGTCATTACACAATGCAGATGAAGCTCCTAGGATATTGCTACATTGTTACTACATCATATTGGAGTGATTTCACTACGACTCTCCTTCCACTCTTAGCATGAACTAGAAAAAGCCCTTGTCTCAAACCCACAGCATGATAAAGCTTTTTTGTTTCTCCTGTTATGTGTGGAGTTATGTTCTTTATTGCATACCACTTTGCTACTGCATTTCAATTACATTCATAGCCAAATACAGAAAACAAATGCATGAAAAGCAACTTTTCTTCCTTTATGTCCATTAAAGGCAGGTGTCAAGGAAATAAAAACAGTTGACAGAAAATGTTGGGAAGACGTAACATTCCAGTCCCTTCCATATCCATATCCATATCCATATCCATATATATATATATCTATATATATATGCATGCTGATGCATATGTTGATGCATACACACAGACATACACATGTACATATACATATATGCATCACCATTAAGAAATGACTAAAAGCAGCCAGACGTTTTGGACTAAAAAACCCATTATCAAATTCCAATTTCAGCAATTGGCTTTAGGGGGTGTAAATAATCCTGGTTCATGTTAAACACAGCTATCTCAGATGGAAAACTATATCATGGCCAGAAGTAAAGACACTATGTAGGAAGAAGTTTGCAACATGCCGTCACTAGGAAATTAAGTAGTGTTGCATCTGCACTGACCTCTGTGAACAGATTACTTAAAAATGAGATGAAGTTTTTTAAGAAAAACTTTGAACTCTTTTTAAAAAGAGTTTTAAAAATGAGGTTCTCCTGTAGATGAGAAAGCATATGCCAAGAGTTTGTTGCTTTTCTTCCTTAAACTGAAATTGCAGTGGTGGGTTTCTGTGTAGCCATACTTTTATATAGTTGTAAAGTATACACATGTCCTTTAAGAACAAGGAGATACTTCTAAAAAACCACTAGTCTTTAATAGAGCCGTGCAAAGTGTATTAATATGAATAAGGTATTCCTGTTTAAAGGATTAAAGCAACTACATCCTCTGGAACGCTCACTATCCAGTTGTCTGAAGGTGCAAATGCAGCTGGGACAACATTCAAGTCAGGCTGCTGTGTGCAGGCAGCTGGAAACTATCTTCAAAATAACTGTGTGAGCCTGCTAGAGGAGGCGGATGCTTTAATGCTTTGAGCAGGGGCGCTTTGCTTGCATGAACATAGCTTTGCAAAGCAACTTTGCCAACTGCTTTGCCTGATCTTGTCTTTATCTCATTATCAGCAACAGAAAACTATTGAACTCTTGAGCTCTTTGACATCACAGTGCTACTTAATTTAAACAGCCAAGCAGCCAATGAAAGAATCACAAATCTTTACATCACTTCAGAGGGTATTCTTTGGGGGAATATCCACAAGTTACTGTGCTCCAACATGTCGGTGTCAAAACAATCAAATATCTACAATGAAATGGAGATACAGAAAACAAATTCACATGATTTAATCACACTGAATCACACTGGTATTGCTGCAAAGCAACAGTTAGGGGAAGAACTGGATTTTTTGGGAGTCTAGTTGAAATAAATAGAGCAGCAGCAACAGAAGAAGAAATGGGATATATAAGCCAACAAATTAATAGGGACTACAGAACTTTTTGCAAATAATGAATGTTTCTGCAATTTGTGAATGAATGTTTGTTTCCCTCAGTGTAGGGAATTTATTATCTAATAAATATAGATGGAGGTATGAAATTTAAATTTAGGACATCTTATTTTTTTATCTGGAAAAGGCATTAAATTAAAAATAATGTAATTACTTCTTCAGGGAGAGAATCATATGATGGATGATAATTACTCTAAAAATCTTTAGAAGTTAAAAAAAATGTAGTAAACATAGCATTTCATGCTGACCAATAGATGTACCAAATTCTGTTGTATGTGGTTTGCAAAGACATGACAGAACGATTCACTTCATGCAGAAAGCAACAAATGTGTAGAGATTCTTAAAATAAGAAAAACATACATGACGTTTCACCACACCTATTTACATAAACTTTTATCAAAATGGACACACTAATTAATTACCAGATTCAAGCAGTAGCAAAACAAAAAATCAGCAATTTAAATGCTAATGGATGCACTGCTTACTGATAATCCTTCATTCAGTGGAGCTTGTAAACAATGAAGATATACATTTATACAATTTATAGTCTTAGGAGAAAATAGATTTCTGGTTTGTCATCTTCACTTGACTTGGTCTCTAAAAGAGAGTCATCTGTACAAAATCGGTCACTGTACCCCAAACGCAAAGATGAGCATGCACCTTCTGGGACCCCTCTGCGTTCTAGGTTATCTGGGTTGAAGTTATCTAGATAGCTGGCTATATAAGATCCAGTGGAATGCCTATTGATGATATGAGGCAGTACTGGTGGCTTATTTCGAAGGACTATGCCTGTTACATTACTGCTAACAGTAGAAAGTTTTTGTCTGTTGGCTTCTTGTCGCTCCTTGGCACGGCTAGCAATATTTCTCACTCTGCTCTGACTTCTGGATGACAGTTTTCTGACCAGCATTTTTGGGCAATCATCATTTTGCTTAGAACAAAATGATTGGCAACTCTCTTCCTGATCAAAAGACACAAGTTTTCGCAGCTGTTCGGTCAGCGTGTCTGTAGTCGGTGGTTTCTTGGCCTTCAGAGCGGCCACCATGTTGTCTCTCATACCAGATGTAATAAAACCTCTACTAATATATTTGTACTTGCTCTCAAAATTGCATGAGATATCTTCCGAGGTTAAGTCCCCAAGACTTTTTGATTTACAAGGGCTCTGTTGTTTTTGAGCTCCAGGAAAAGGTGAAGGCAGAGCATTCTTAGGCTTAAGAGCAGCATCTATACTGGCTGTTTGAGGAATGTTTAACAATTCATTTTGCATATCTGAAATTTGCAAACAATTATTGTACAAAAGATCAAAGTTCTGATGACATGGGTATGGAAGATACTGATTCTTATCATTCTTAAACTTAAAATCTTCAACTAGGTTTTCACTGTGAAAGTCCGTGCTCTTTAGGTGTTCACATATGGTTTTGTTATAGTATAGTGTATCCTGACCCTGCTTAAGTTTCAAAGGAGAAGCAACTTGGCTCATATCTTGCATCTTATATTCAAAAGCAGTTATCAAGAGGTCTTGTAGCTCCCCATCAGCTTCCATTAGGCTGCTACCAGTAGAATTTGCACAAGTGACTGGGACAACTATTGTATTCTGTATGTCTGAGCTGTCAGAAGTATAGGAGTTGTTATTGCTGAGAAATTCCCAGCTTGTTCCACACTTTCTTTTAGGGTTTGATTTCTGCATGGTGACAGGTGAAATGCAGCAAGTATCTTTGGCACTCTCATTTATGCAACTGTCTTTTGCATCCTGGGTTGTATCTTTGCAAATGAATGTATCCATTGATTCAGGTTGAGAAACTGGAGAAAGAGAGGCCTCATGGATAATTGTGTACAGAGAACACCCTGTTGTCTTAGGGGTGGATATCATAGTATTTTCTGCTGTTGAACAAGTTGCTGATCCAGCTGGTTTTAAGTTTAGAGACTTACGATCCAAAATGATCTTTTGATCATGCAGTGATGTAGATGGTAGATGTGTGGGCTTCAGATTATTATTCTGTTTATTAATTACAGGAGGACTTGAAACAAGAGTTAAATTAGTTTGGTCACTTGTGACATCAACTTGTTCTATCAACACTGAGACAGAATTATTCCTATCTCTCTCATCAGCTACAGAGACTTCACTAATCAGATGAGAAATGTCACTATCAGAGATGGCTGGTGTACAATTAAAACCACACCCATCGTAACAAATAGGAGATGATGGTTCAGTTGATGACAAATTGGTTATAGTTGTATTTAAAATTGGGGGAGATTCGATATTAGCTTTTTCATCTCCTGGAGGAAGAGAATTTCCTGCTATTTTCTTCTTTTCTTTGCAAAGTGCAGTTATCTCCAGTGTCTTTTGATCAATGCAACCTATATCTTCATGCTTTTTTCTTTCAAGGTCCTCCTTTACATGAACAAACTCATTGGAAAAATTGCTTTTCCAATACTCAGTGGAGAAATAGGTTTCAGCTATCCCAATTGCAAAGTTTAGGCTTTCTCCTTTTTCACATGGGGAAAATGTATCACATTTACCAGACTTGGGTACATCTTTCTTAAGCAGGTATGAAAACTCTGTAAAAGATGAATTTTTCTCAGAAGAGGAGATGGTTTTCTTCACATTTGTACAGTCCTCGCTTGTATTATTTCTACTTTCTGCTAAATCAATTCAAACAGAAAACAAAAACAAAAATTTGGTTATAAATATTATCTTACCTGCTTATGATTATTTTATCCACAGATAAATGGAGAATGTAAAACCAATCACAGTTGTGGAAAAAAAATAATTATGTGATTGTGTATTTACTACAAATTACCCATGTGATGTGAAGAAATGAGAAAATATACAGTGGGAGGCATTTTACTGAAGCTTTTCTTCAATGCTTGATTACATCATTGCAGTCATGATGTAATATTTGTATAAAGAAAATCAATGAGGTATCGTAGTCTAGACATGTGGAATTACCTTCAGATGTATTCCTATTCAGATTTGTACTATAAAGGAGCATGACAAACAAAGAACAAAATAGCTCTGTTAAAACACCATCTGCAAACATGAGGCATACTTATCAGAACTCTTGAATTATACACCCAACACTTGTACTCCGTGCATCATGAACTCAGGTTCTGTGATGGAATGGTGTTATGAAGGCCACGCTCAGGGAGAGCGTGGGAAGTTTAAGAAGATGAGACTGGCACCACCCTAAGGAATTCAAGGTATTGTGGCTTTC